TGGTGCTGTCGTCGTGGCAAGTTTGTGGTATAGCATCGTCTTGGTCATATCCTCGTCCAGGAGATCGATTAGCCTCCTGGTGATCTGCTCGAGGTATTTCCTTCCCGTCCAGTGGCGTTCGTACTCTAGGTCTCGTAGCCGTATGTTTATGGACGTCATCAGTGCCGCCTGTGTGAGGGGTAGCGCCTGCCCGTCCTTCCTCTTTGCTGGGTCTAATACCTGGGCCTCCCGGCCCATTGCCTTCGCTAGGCTGTGCATCGTCGTGAGCTCTCCTGTTCTTATCAGTATCTCTACTGATGTTCTCCACGGGAACCAGATCGCAATGGGGTGGATCCCATGCTTCTTGAGCAGCTTTCTCCACTCCTTTGCCGGAAAGAGGTTGCGTGGCTTCACCCTGTCCAGAGTGACCGCAGTTACTTCTACAGTCTGCGGGGGTCTTGGCTCCCAGAGCGCCTTCTTGTCTTGCTGGTCGATCTCGACTTCCACCATTGGTGTGGCTACATCCTCCGGCTTGATCGCCTCTTCGTTTATGATTATCGGGTCGTTCTTGCGCCCTACACGCGTCACAGTGGTTCTCGCTCCCGCTACTCGATTCCATGGTAGCGGGGTTGACAAGTTTAAAGGCTTCTTTTCTTGCTCATCAGTGGATCTGCCCGTTCTCTGTACCGCACCCTTACTTCTTTCCCTTGTAGTTGAGATCGAACGTTGGTCGGCGGTTGGCTTCGTGCGCTTCGTGATTTCGTATCTGTGCGCAATCGTATCTAACTTCTTCTTAATGTCGACTACTTCGTTCTTCAACTTGTCTGTGACTTCCGCCTTCAGCTCCTTTACCGTTGTTGTCATGCCGACATACGCATCCACCAGGTCCTTGAACATGGCTTCGTTCCTGTCTAGTTGCTGTCTCCTGCTGGCTCTTTCTTCTCTCTGCTCCTTTCTCATGGCAGCCACTTCGTTTCGCAGGTCTAGTAGGCCAATGCAGATCTCGGTCGTCGACATGGGCTGCACATGTGCGACCCCTCGCTTTCTTGTTTTTTGCACGGTGTTCGGTGGTTCTTCCTTGTTGGCGGGCGTCTTCGGCTTATATCCGGCGGCAGATATTGTCTGTGCTTCGTCGTCGCCCACGATCGACATATCAGTAGGCCTCGGCGCAGGTTCGGATTGGAGTTCCGGTGGGTCATTGGTATGCCTGCCATCCCTACTTATGTTGTTAGAGGTTTGTTTGTCAAAAGTCTGTTTGCTTCTAGCATTGCAAGTTTGTTTGTTTGACTCCCGTTAGCCGGGGCAGGCGTTCATGGTTGTAAAAAAGGTCTACCTCTACTCATCCCTCCTGTCTTCTCGGTAGTGGTTAAGCCTGTGTATCGACAG